ACGTCTGGAACGCTCTGCCCCCAGACGTCTGGAACGCTCTGCCCCCAGACATCTGGAACGCTGACTCCCTTCAGACCTTCAAATCACAACTCAACTCATCTGTTCACGTTAGACTTCTCACTTTCATTCCTTCTTATTTTCTTCTCGGTTTCGTGTTTTTAAAGCCTTTTTATATTGTTTTATTTTTAATGTTGTGAATTGTCCTTGGGTGTCTTGAAAGGCGCTAACAAATAAAAAGCATCATTATTATTACACTGTGGGGGAGTGCTCCGTGAATATGGGAATGGGGGCCTATCGTTACGGGCTGTTCGGTCCCTAGAAAAGTGGTGCAAGAGTTTGGTTTGCATTGCTGTAGTAAGTTGGACTCCACCAGGGCTGCCCGTTGTCACCAAGTAGGTATCTCTGCAGACAAATACGGAAGGTGTATCTGGAGGGCCACATCTGAAGGGACGATTAAAAAAGGCTTCTTACAAACCTTCAGTTTTAAAAAGACCTGATGTAATTTAGCTAAAGAGCAGCAGATCCAGTAAACAATCAGTGTTTGTCCCCTACAAACACCGATTCTCCAGAAACACACACTTTTGTTCTGCAGAGAAGCCCTTCTCGTTGTCACCGATTCTGTTCATAACTTTAACGGACAGAACTTCTCGGTGCAGCCAGGGGGCAGAAGGAGTCCGGTTCGGTGGCCTCAGGATTTCATTTCTGGTCTTTGTATTTGATGTGGTCCTGTTGGTGTCATCGTGTCTTGATCTTCAGCTCTAACTGGAGCGGTTCACAGCCGAGTGTGAAGCAGCTGGGATGAGAACCAGCACCTCCAAATCTGAGGTCATGGTCCTCAAACCAAAAAGTGTGGATTGTTCTCTTCAGGTCGAGGTTCTGCCTCAAGTGGAGGAGTTCAAGTATCTCAGGGTTTTGTTCACGAGTGAGTGAAGAATGGACTGATGGACTGGTGCAGCGTCTATTGTGGACTCTGCCAGTACGTTGTGGTGAAGACGGAGCTGGAAGACAAAGGTCTATGTTTTGAGCATAGACTGGAAGGAGCCCCTGAGGAAGACCCAGAGACTGAGTCTCTCGGTTGGTCTGGGAACAGCTTGGAGTCCTTCCACAAGTTGGAAGAGATGTGTGGACCTCCCAGCTCAAGCTGCTGCCCCCGAGACCTCACTTCAGAACAAGCGGGAGATGATGGACGGATTTAATTCAACGAGTTGCATAAAGAAAATATGCTCCTTGTGCTTCATTTTACTGCCCACTCTAAATTTGTGCGTGTTGTTTTGGAGTTTTTGAATTTCTAATTTAATAAAGATTTATTTCAGACAAAGACCTAATAAGTTGAGTATTGTTACTGATGTAAACACAACCTGTGACATTAAAAATGTTCGGCTTCGAGTTGACAGTATGATTTATTTTTTGGTATGGTTTAAACAACAAAAAAAGAAAAGAATTCACTGAACAATCATCAGCAGAGTGACAATGTATTATTTTATTATTTTATTATTTTACAGCAACATAGAAACACAGAGACGCCCGGCCACGACCTTCACATTAGTCTGTAAATATTAATGACAAATATCTGGATGAGGTTCTTCTCTTGAGGTCTGGATTGTGTAAATCTACAAGAATGTAATGCCAGTCAGCATTCAGCTTAACATCAAGCAAACGATTAGATTTAAGTACAATGATGTTCAAACATCATCCACACATTTAAATGGGTCGTTCCTTGTCCACACTCGCTTCATTTCCCTTCAAGAATCTGATCTAACCTCCATCTTTAATGATAATACAGATTACAGGTGTCATGTCTGCCAGGCATCATTTGTATTCTGCACAAAGCTGAAGCACATGTGACCAACTGGGAGCTCCACGATGACTCATACTGGAGGCCCATTACAACCACCACCGTCTGAAAACGGTGCCGTCCTGCAGCAGAGCCGCTGCACGCACTGGGTCCAGGCTGGCACTCCCCCAGGCTCCGTGGACCACGCACGGCAGCAGAGCGCGTGTGCGCGGCGCAGACAGAGGACAGAGGACAGTCCTCTGGAAGTCCCCTCCGCCTCACAGCGGCGGGAGATGGACGGAGCTACCGTTAGCTAATCACGTGGGTCTTTGACGGCTCTTTCAGACAGGACGAGCATCCATGTCGTGTCCGGTTCCGGTCTGTGACCATGACTACAGGACCTTTAAAGACATGTCCACACCGGTACACGGTACCGAGGCTGAGCATCCTTCACATTTGACCGTCTGCAGCGAACAGCGGTGGACATGTTCAAGCACGAACAGCGGTGGACATGTTCAAGCACCAGCACCGATAAGACACATTAAGAATATTTCAGCAGCCCCCTCTCTGACCACACGCACTCACCTACGTGACGCTTTTAAGGTCCAGGTGCTGATGGACCGGGGCTAGCTCAGCTAACGTTAGCCTCCCTGCTAGTTTCTGTCTTCTCGGTGTGAAAGCTAAAAAGTCACATTTTCCTCAGGGCACGCGCATTCTGGAAACATTTTAAACGTTACACTGCCGACAACTGTCAGTTTCCGTGTTGCTTACCTTCAGCGTGGGATATTCCTGGACTTTGAGAGCCATGGACAGCTGAGAGGCTGTCTCCTGCACAGCCATCTTGGTTTCCTGGCTTCTTGTCTTGTTGTTTCCTTTCACGTCAGAATGGCTCGTGTTCACCACCGCCCCCTGGTGACGCGGTGCCGGTACTGCACCCTGGTGACGCGGTGC